AATATGTTTTATGATATATAAAATAAATATTAAATGAAAAGTCAAAGTCAACTTTAATGTCAATATTATTCGAGATCGAAATGACGTTTCCAACAATTAATGTAAAATTAAACAGTTTACAGATATGTATAAAATATGTATATCCTACATACACAATCAACAGACACATTTACACATAAAATAAATAAATAAAAGCACATTTTCTCTTTAAAAATCTCCAATGGACTCTGAGCTTGTTGAGTGGCGGTCTGTCCATCTCTGACCTCCGTTTGTCCCCCATCTTCTTTCTTTTGATTCATGTTTTTTCTCTCTAATCAGGGTGAAAGTCTCTTCAGCACCATCGTCTCTAATCAGCACCCCCCTTTGATTTTCACAAATCCATACGGAGCCGGGCGGTCTCCTCAAAGGTCGGCCCCAACTTAGTTTGATAGCCATGAGGGAACGACTGGAAACTCTGTCCTCCCCTTCTGCTTTAATCAACTAAATGGGCTTTCTCTTTTAAAGTGAGAGCAGCTCACCTGGATGAACTAAAGGTGTTTGGTGAAGATTTCTGAGCACCTCCGAACTTTCTTATTAACAACATTGCTTTTCCCTCTTGTAATTAAGAAGGAGGGAATTAAAACACATACCATGGTTAATTGAAAAAGTTGAACTAAACTTTATTTAAACGTTTATTTTAACAAACAATTACATATCATTCATTATGTACACATTTTAGGTGTCTATTGTGCACAGATTATAACATTAAGATGATTGATGATTGGTTCATTTGATAATATAGGACAATGTGTTAATGATTACCAAAGGATTTGTGCTGATCTTTATCGGGGTTCCTGTTCCGGCTGCTGCCTTCCTGGTCGTCTGAGTGTTTTCAGCTGTGTGTTTTCTATGTAAATGAGCTGTGCGGTTGCCCTCCCGTCATTGGCTGCCATCTCCTGGTCCGCCCCTGAAGATTGCGATTGGAGCACGCCGGGCCCGGCACACACCTGCTGGAGATTACTACAAAGCTTGGGGACAATCATCATTCTGGAGGCTCTGTATGTGGACTGACGCCTCTCGCTACTTGCTCCTTAGTGAATTCTGTTGAACTGTGGTTAAACTTGTGTGATTAGTAGTGTCTAGAGTAGCTTAGTTAGTGTTTAGAGTAGTTTAGGATTCTGCGACGGTTGCCTGTAGTTTAGTTGTGTTTTTGTATAGATTCTTTGTGTTAGTTGTACCACTTTTAAAGTGAGGTTTTGTTTTGTTCTTTATTTAGTATATTAGTATTTATTTTCCCTGTATGCCATTAGACTCTTTTTTTTAGAGTCCTCCTTTTGTTTGGTTATCAACCTGTGCCCTTTTGGCCCTTTTGTTTGTTCAGGCTGCGTGCCTTCCATTTTGTTTTACCCGGTTCTATAATAAAACCATTTATAATTATAATTTATTACCAATTACATACTGGTATGTGTTGCATTCCTCTTCCCCTAGTTGGGACGTAACAGTTCCCCTGAACCTTCAATACATTCATTTCTTCTCTAACATCAAGCAATATATGTAATGAATGCAATGTAATTAGCAGGATAAGAAACCATATTTTTGAATAATTCATTAAGTTTAAGAATGAAATGAATCTATAATATCCCCATTCATCTGAAGTCTCATAATGCCACTTCATTCTTTATTAAAATCTTTACTATACACTGTAAGCTGAAACCGTCTCTGACACTCGAGCCAAGGCACACGGAAAATTACTAGTGACATTCCCCCTACATGGATGAATAATGAAGCTCTGTGTGAATAACATTTACTTGCTATACAGAAATTAATCTCTGCATGTAATTCATTCTAGAGTTTGCTTCTACTTCATACATGTAGTAAGAATAGTAGGCTAGTAATAGTAGTTTACCACAGTTTAAAGTCAGGGTGTATTTCATAATATGTGCTTCTTCTCTGTGAGTTCTTGCACAAACTAATGAAATAGTCTCACCTCAGACATTTGTTCGTAATGAAATGAGTGTGCGTGTAGTACCTTTGCACATACTATTTTGGCATTGAGTAATCGTGTGAAATACAACATTGTTATTAAAGTATGCATTTAAGAAGCCAGAAATGAAGTTTCCAAAGCATTGATTGCAGATCAGCCAATTGATGGATGGTGTGAAAATGTACTTTTTGATTAGGATTCATTGACCGTTCACCATGATGGAAACTGAAATACATGACAAATCAAATAATTAAACAATAACTAATGCTGTCAAAATTATCGCATTAACGGCGGTAATTAATTTTTTGAATGAATTGCGTTAAAATATTTAACGCATTTAACGCATGTGCAGAATGGGCCGCCCCATACATCCCACCAGTGGCAACGCTGGGATAGGTTACAGGCATACGAAGAAATGGCTTAGCCCCACCTTAGCCCCACCATGGAAAGTGATGTTAAATAGACCCTCCAGAAAAAACGCGGGCAAAAATCCTTGATTATGCGGGCTAAATTCCTTGATTATGTGGGCTAAAATCCTTGATTATGCGATTAAACATGCGGGGTTTTATGTGATTTTATGCGGTGAAATTGCGGGAAGTTAGGAAATATGCGGAAAGTTGCGAAATATGCTAAATATGCGGGGGAAAAGAATAACAATTTTTTTAAATATTGGGCTGTCTTATTTATTCTCTCTNTAAACTTGCCTCAGGTTTCACCCCGAAATCCAGCGAAAACGTGCCTTGTCTCTTCTCGAATGCTATCGAGGGACGACCTATCGGGGGGACCTGGTGATCGCGTCTGTCTTCTCCGGGGAA